TGCTGGTAATTTCCCGCCTTCGAAATGTTTCTTCTGGATAACATTCTCCTGAAAGCGTTGGAATAAAGAAATTTTGAAGCAGGTGTTGTGTAACGTGAAATACTTCTGACTCGATGACCAATCACTGAAGCGCTTTGGCAGTGTCAGTGTGATGATTATGGAGGTTGAGAAGTTCGGTTATGCCAAAAAAATCTACAGACAACTTTTAGGACCAGAATCATCCAAAACAGGCTAATCTTTTAAAAACTCTCGCATAAGGATGATTATGCTGAATGCGATAAGTGTTGTTCTTAATTCATACATCTAATCGAGCTGAACATTTGATCTGTTTGCAAGTTCTGTATAAACGAGAATGCTGTCAGGCAAGACTCTTCGTGAATAAATATTTTTTACGGTCAGTATGCTATGCAGGCCCGACCAGTATGTATGAGCTTGACTTCAAAATTTCAAAGATTTAAGGATACATAGAGTAAGCTGCGTACGCTTCAAACTCGCAGAGCCAGTTACGGAAACATTGGACGATTCCAAGGTTCAGCCTCAAAGCGGCGGAAAATCCTTCATGTGCGTTTTCACTCTCGCAGATGCATGAAGTTTCAACTTCATACAAAAGGCCGGTTAACAGATAAAATGCTGAATTTCAGTTTGTGTTTCTTCTTCACTACTTAAATCTATCTTACCTTACAGACTACGAAATAACTGAAGAATTTCTGTCCACAGTTTCTGGCACTGATATCTGCAGCTGCTTTAATGGCTCAGCACTGAAGTTCATGCTTGCTTCACAAATAACGTAGCCATGTACTTATGCTATATCTGTCAAGAATCTTTCCAATAGGGCACAATTTTCGCCAGCCATGTTGCCCGCAATGATCTGTCAAAGCTGACGGTTGGTGTACGCACATTACCGTTATGGTAAATCGGGTGAAAAGAGTTCGCCAGCCCTTGTTCAGCAATATAATAGTGATATAACTTTCGTAATATCACGACGCCGTGTAGATGTTACAAACCGCATTTCGTTCCTATTAATCAGCCAGCACAAGTGTCAAACCAAATTTCATGAATTATGATGAGCCAGAGCATGTGTCGAAGACGATTATCATGAATTCTGATCAATTACCATGTATACTATCGTAATTCTGTCGCTGACAGGTCGATAATTCTAGTGCATTAATTGTCCCATTCCTGCTGTTATTGCTCCTAGCAATAGTTTAAAACAGCTGTAGTGCTTGCTGTAAAGCAAGTGCGGTGACAGAGGCAAGAAACTGTAATACACTTTCTTTTAATGTGCTCGTTGGTTCAGCTGGGAAAGTTTTAATGGAAACGAATTCGAACATTATTATATTAAAGCATGGCGCGGCAGAAGTTGTAATAAACAACAATAAAAAGGGAAGGGAGGAATATTAAGGGTCGCAATATCGTACGCAGGACATGAAAATAACTTATAGAAATAGCTGACGAGAGGAAACTCAAAGAAAAACTGGAAATTAACAAAAAAATCAAGGTAGAAATACGTTGTACGTTGCAGTACATACGTCACTTTAAAGTTCGAACGCAAACAATGGTGAGGCAGAACAAAAGCAGAGAGCACCACGCCCAGACAACAAACGACCGCTTACGGTGAAGAATTGAACATACGTAACGAGATGGTGGCCGCAATAAACAAGAATAAGACACGTATGCAGTATTTACGGAAGCTTAAAGTCCGAAAGTAAAGATGAATAAGGTCGAACGAAAGCAAAAACAGCCTACGAACTCGAGCGGATTCTAAACCGGCACTTCCAGAGTCAAAGCAGACCTCTTAATCAGAACAGATGTCTTTCTCTCCCGATCGATGGTTCAAGACATCAACTGATTGCAATATGAACAAGTAGCGTGAAGAGAACGCAAATAAAATCAGGAGACGAGAAATGACTTACAGAGGGCATACAGACGGTTAGAAAATGCGCAATATGTTGACTACCGGAGCAAAAGGAAAGACCATGGACAAACGAAAGAAAAGAATCGTGAACAATGACAAACCAACTTAGAAACACAGCGGAGCCCAAAATGTGAGAAGAATAATCTAACAACCCGAGAAGGTTACGAAAATAAATTTCTTACCGCTTGAGCAAGGCGTTGGTTCATCTCGCACTAGCAACTTTCTTGCAATGGTCTTGAAACCCTTCAGTATTTGCAGCAAGGTTTAAAGAAAACTGAGATACAGATCAACCGGACAAAAACAAAAGTAACGCAAGATTCAACAATGAACAGTGCTATTAAGATCAAATGGAGGGGTCGACCGCGGGCAAGATGATCATTTGAAGTATCTGCGTTCAGTCATCATCAACAACTGAGACTGCGATCCATACGTTAGCGAAGTTAACTGATGCATGGAAATACTGGTTAATGCAAGAAAAACTGATATTCCCATCTGCAGAGTAGCGGTGTTTACCGTTCTCAGAAGAGCTGCGGTTACGAACTGCCGCGAAAATTAACTGAATTCTTTTTAACAAAGCAGACCCACGGAGCATACTCAACAATCGGTGCTATCATCGAGAACCAGATAGTTATGCTCGATTAATCGCCGGACGGAAGATCAAACCAGAGTTAATTGCCTTTTGGAGTGAGGCATTGAAACTAGGCATAAATAACGGAACTTACATTCATTCATTCATCTTCCATTGCCGCTTTTCCTTTCGGGTCGCGGAGGCAGACTCGTCAGACGAGCTTCAAACGTTTCCGATCCTGCGCCAGGGTCTGAGCTTCGGCAAAAGACAAACGCAGTCTGGAACAGACTCCTTCCATATGGTTGCACCAGGTTAATCTTGGGCGTCTCCTGGGCGTTTTGCCGGTCGGATTTGCAAGGAGCAGATGCTTAGCCTTTCTTTCTGGAGGCATTCGCAACACGTAACCAAGCCATCGCAGCTGTGACATCTCAATCTGGAGAAGCAAAGGTTGTACACCAAGGCTCTTCCGGATATCAGTATTCACGGAACTTACATAACTTTTAGACGTTTCCGCTTGTTCTATGTATCTGGAAACGAACCCATTATTGTTATTCAAACAGAGAACTAATTGCTGATTTCTTTTATATTTGGTCAGGTTTTTCCGATATGAAGAAGTGGCTCAGAAAACAGACATGAGGAGCAATTACTTTCTTCTATGGTTGAACAGTTGAGATTGAAGTGAAAGAATCCTACTTAAAAACTGATTGGCACAGTTTATCAGA